CACACACACACACACACACACACACACACACACACACATGCACGTAAAGGCACAAGTGCCAGCACAAAACCTGAGCTCAGGTGGTGGTGAGTTTCTGCCAGTTTTGGCTGTGACACAGAGGTGGAAAGTGAATCTTGCTCTGTACTGTTAGTTTCCACAAGAGTCCTCGAACCGTGCTATATCATGTAATTGCAGAATAGCTCAGATAGCATCGGGGCCTCCCGGACTGGGAGACCAGCGAGTAAAGCTATACTAATTCTTGTGATTGATCCAACTCCCAAAGATTCACCTTGATTACCACAAGATTCTTCATGCGATCCCGTGTAAAGAAAATCGTCAGTGTCCTCCAGTGACATAGAAGCTTCCCGGGAAACTCACTTCTAAGAGCTCTTAGCTGAAATTCCTTTTTATTATTGCTGGCTGTGTTTTCATGTGTGTGTGTGTGTGTGTGTCTGTGTCTACGTCTGTGTGTGTGCGGGTGTGCATCCGTGCGGAATTAGAAGCCAAAAGCTTGTCCTCGGGATGGCCTCATCGGCACATCTGAGAATCTCTGGTTCTTAGCGAAATGTCAGTGGCTGAGCCTCCGGGCTAGAAGTGATATGGGTTCACTCTCAGTTTGAAACACTCACAAGAATACACGCACATGCACACGCCTAAAAAAGCACACACCCAAATTTAACTTTACCGTTATTTCATTTTTGTTTTTGAGTGTCATTTTATTCTTTAAAAATTAAAATCAGCTTATTTTTTCTTTTGTTCTTTGTATGTAAAATTTCCTAACACTAAAAATCCTTATTTCCACTGATTCTTCAGGACCCTCTGTAATCTATCCTCCTCTGATCATTATTTGAATAGATGGGATCAACAAACAGTTGGCTGTTTGGGGAGGTGGCAGATGAACGTCAAGCCGCCTCCTTCTCAAAGTGAACGTAGAAGAATGAATTATAACTCCGCAAACCAAAATGTCACATACTTGATACGAGTCCTACAAAAACAGAACGGCCATTTTCCCTAATGGAAAAAGTCAGAACTGCATTAATTCACCCAAGAATCTTCCACTGGTCTTTTTCCCACTGCTTTTTGCAAATCAGATTAGATACTTAGATGTCAGTATGCTGTGACCATTATTGATAAAAAGGAAAGATATGTCACACAACTGACTGACATTGTTTTTGTAATGATTGGTTTTCAGCGCTTTAGGAAATGTGTTTATCTGTCAAAGAACGTCTCAAGTAACAGAAAGGACATTTCAAGTGAAAAAAGACCTTTTCACCATAAACGTAAGAAGATGAAAAATGAGATTAAACGGTTGAAAGCAAATCGTGAAGTAATGTGAGCAATATGGCAATGGCCATTATATTTATATAGCATTTTTCAGCACGTATGAACTCAGTGTCCTTAACATAAAAGATAAATTAAGGCTTAGTTTGTAAAAATAAAAAATTTAAAGAGGGTTTTTGATTTTGGACACAGTTTTAATTGACTTTGGCTCAACAGGCACCTGCCCCCACCACCAACCCACACACAACCACAGTAACTGAAAGCACCTTCAGCACACTTAGATCTAATTCTAGGAATAGTTAAGAGATCTGCACCGTTTTCTAAACCGGATCTAAACCGTTTTCTTCAGGTTCTCATTGAAAGCAGAGGCAAACACTTCTTATGCTGCAGGAAGCAGCTTTTCTCCTCTTTTATTCGCTGTGTGCCTGTCCTTACTCTCCTGCTTCCCTCTCCTTTCACTCCTCTTCATTCTGCTCTCTCAGGGACAATCAGACTTTAGCGATTCCCATTCTCTGCCTGCGTCTCTTGTCCTGTCATGTCGACTAATTAGTGGGAACTCAGTAATTGGCCTTCTAGCTAATTGGCCTGCTGGCTGCCAGACCCAACAATGGCTGAGCAGACTGGGACACAGTGGGGACTGTCCCCCTCCACTGTCTAAAGACTCTCATCAACTCCCTCTCTCTCCCTCTCAGCGCTGACTGCTTTTGTGAAGAGGCTGCTTAAGTAGTTGTGCTTCTCACACACATGCACACACACACATACACACAGGCATTTGCACACCTCTTTGGATTTAGTTCCCACTCAGTCCCACTATTCACAATTGATACTCTTACTCATTGCTTGTGAAGAATAATATATTCTCTTATTTTTGTGAATCAAATCACTCTCAGAAACTCTTGATAAAGATTTGTCCTTTGTTTCATCCAGCTAAGGTTAATTTGGTAATTTGACTCTGTGCAAACCATGAAATAAAACATGATTCATTCACTCTTTGACTGTTTCGCTGTAGATGGATGACTACTGATAAGGGTGTGTGTCCATGCATGTGCCTCTGTGTAACTTTCAGTTAATACCCCCGCAGTCCATCTATCTTAACTCAATGCGCGATCTGGCTGCTGGAGTCTCCAAGTCTTCTGGCTCCCTTGGTCTGTCTCCGTACCTCCCTGAGGCATATATAGATGGCCAGAGCCGTCCTCAACTGTCCACTTAGAACTTTCCCCTGTAGCATCTTCCTGCTCCCGTCTCTTTCGCTGACCTCCTTTGGCTAGTTTTCCACTTAATCTCTTGTCTGTCATTGTGGAAATGTATGGAAGCCATCTGATTCTCTCATCCTCACAGTTTACAGACTCTCAGTGTATCCGATTGCAAGGACTTGAACGATCATTTGCTAAAGCAATATTATGAAAACAATGAAAAATTCAGAACTTTATCTCCTCGTTTACTTTCTGCTGAGTTTTCCATCTCAGCGCCTGCGTCTGCAAAACACAACATATTTTTCGGGGCATCTTTTCCTTCTGTCGAATTTAAAACACATGTGCATTCATATATCTCTTGTTTTCAACTAGATTTTATCAAATATACCAGGACAGAATATTTAAACACTGCTTTTTTATTTTAAAAAAATCTCAAAGATTTATTAAATGAGCATTTATTGAATTATTAAATCTTTTAAAAGAGATTGCTAAAACATAATATTTACATTTTGTGGAAAGCACCAGATTATCTTTTTGCTGCTGGAAAAGCTATAATTTTAACCAGTAGCCTCTTCAGTAGTTATCCAAATTAAAATTGGTTATGATTTTATTGACATTTCTCTTCACTGTATTTTGCAAGAGCGTGCATGAATGAAGGTGGCCTACCTGGTGGCTGGGTCGCATGGTTCCCGGTGAACTGCATGGGGATGCACAGGTCGTTATCAATGGGGAACTTGTCACAGGTCAGCATCTCCGGCCAGGGAAAGCCGTAGGTCTCCATCACCGGAGCACAGCTGTCCCTGACAGCCTCGCACAGTGAGCGGCAAGGGTAGATGGGCCTGTCTAGGCACACTGGTGCAAACAGTGAGCACAGGAAGACCTGCGTATCAGCATGGCACCGTTTGGCCAGGAGGGGCACCCAACTGCCTGCCTGCTGCTTAACTTCGGGCATGGTCTCGTGGTCCAGGAGGTTGGGCAGCCTCATCTTCTTGTAGCCCACATTGTGGCACAGGCGCAGGTCAGCTGGTATGTCCAGACACTGGGGCTGCTTGGTGTAGAAGCGGCCATTGTGGAAGTTGTCCGACTGCCAGCTGTAGTAGTCATACTCATCTGCGGCCGAGACGGTAAGGAGGAGGAGGAGGGAGAAGGGCGACAGGCCCAGTGCCAAGCTGAAGGAGCCCTGGGTTAATGCCCACCTGGGGCTCTTTTGTCCGTTTGCCATGCCTCTACGAGTTCAGACCAACAATTCAAGAAGGTTATATCCAAAGTCTCCAAAGTAACTCAGTGAAGACAAAATGCAAGGAGAAGAGAGAAACAAGGGGGGGCAGGCGTGAAAGCTGTAATCCCTTTTTTTCTCCTGAGTATGAACGCAGCGGATTGAAAACAAAAGTGTTTAATTCCCTTCTTCCCTGGAGAGTCGACCCTCTAAGCCTCCCTGAAACACCTCCCTGTGTGTGTGTGTGTATGTGCCTCAGGTAGTGGAGTGGGGAGGCAGCAGTCAGGGAAGAGGGAGCTTACAAGTAGGACTTCTTACTTTTCCTAACTTTCCCTGTTCACAGTTTCTCACTTTCTTTCCCTGGTGCTCTCCTAGAACTGCCTCCAGCTCTCTCCTGCTCTCTGTCTATCAGTCTGTAATGAGGAGTACCTAGGTTTTAAGAAGCAGTGGTAGCTGCTCTCGTCTGCTGCCTGCCCCCTAGCAGGCGTCCAGACCATTCACCTTCCTACTGGCCTCCCCTGGACTCACTCAGAACAGCTCCAGCCAATCACAACCCCAGGGGGAGGCTCCCACTGGCCCTCAGGACACTCCTTCTGCCCCTTATTTTCTCCAAAAGCCCTCCTCCAGAAGAGCTTAAAAGGAAAGAAAGAGAGAGCAGCCTGTGGCAAGTTTCTACAGCTGCATTTTTATATTGATCTCTCGAATATGCACACGATTTTTTAGTTGGAAACACATCCAGAAGACACAGCCATCCTCTTACTCATGTTGTTTTTGTGATGGATTTCTAAACTCTTTAGCCCACTTCCATTTACTTGTGAGAGACAGACTCTACGGGCTCCCTGCAGATTGCTCCACGTGTAACAAAGGATGTGTGCTTGCAATTCAAGCACGCTCACTTCATTAGCTCAAAACAGTCTGGCAGCAGCTTTGGCTGGCATCAGCAGTGAGAAAACTTACAAGCGCACACATTCACATGCATAACTGTAAACGTGAGAGATGCAGGAGGAGAATATGAATGAAGTTGAGGGGGGAAAGGGCACCAGCATGGGAGAAGTGAGGTTACTGAGTTGTGCAACTACAGGTGGCTAGGTGGTTTATCCGCGCCAAGGGAGTTATGCTAATGTGTATGTTGGCTGTGAAAAGAGGCACGCTGCATATCTGTCTCTTTCTATCAGTGCCACTGACACAGTGAGGGCCTTCATCTTTGGAGCAAACTCCCTAGAAGGGTCACATTCAGATTCAAAAGCCTGTAGCATTGTGAACAGGATGTGGTATCAGTGGCTCACTTGGAGGGTGTTCCTGCATTTGCTATTTGATCTGCGTCATGCATTAATGCTTTTCCTCATGTGAATAGACTGTAAATGCAGGCCAATACAAATGATTTTAAAGTGACTGGTTTCTGTACTATATCAAGATATATGTGGATTGTGAAGACACCATATAGATCATCCTGCAGATGGATTGTGGAGAGACTAAGACGAAGTAAACAAACTGTATGTGGCAGTACAAACAAGGGGACCGGGAAAGTGCGTGCATGTATGTTTTGCAAACAGCTGGCGGTGTACTTGGATGGGAATCAGGAACAGTATTGTTCTGCGCCTGTAGGGTGGAAGATAAAATTCCAGAAACAGCAGTGAGTCCGTAGAATCTAATTCAATAAGATGATATGAAATAGAGAAAATCATGTTTTAATAACAGTTAACCAAGCACATCAATAAAATAAGTCCAAGAGCCCGTAGAGTTTTATAGTATCATGACCAAACATTCACTTATTTCCAAACCCGGGGCACTGAAGAAGATTACTGCACCATCAAATCGTTTTTTACTCGACAATGGAGTTGAATGTGTTTCAACTTTATCATGCTGGGCTGCGCTTCAAATCCCTGTTAGTACGCCCTTAGTGTGTGCGGATACTTTTTTCAGTGGATTGGAAAAGCTGCCAACAGAGCGAACAAAATCTGCAGTTTGCATAACCTTCAAATGAAGAAAGATAAGATGGTTGTTAGCTGATGTAGCCATTTTTGAAGGAAAATTATAAATAAAAGCATTGTTGAGTGAGCATAAAGCACTTATTTTGTTTTCAGAACCTCACAGCCAAGACTTACTTGACTCACCGTGTCTTTCCCAGCAGTAACACTTTCATCCTTCAACATGCTGTACTGACTGCTAACCTTTGCACTACAACTAATCAACGTAGCTCACAGCTAATGATCTGTGGACCTTACTCTTTTAACAAGGGGTGGTGGGACTGTCTTGTGCATACCTCACTATCTTGGTAAAGGATTTTGTATGCACGTTAGCGCACTGGTGACCTATTTTAGGCCTGCTAGTGTTTCCTCTTGATGCAAGCACAGTGTCCTACCTTCAAGTCAGTAACAAAAGTGTCTTTCATGGTAATCAATCAACAATGGTTGTCTCCTCTTGTTCTCTTTCCCCTAACTGGCCCCTGTGGCCACCGGCCAATCAATTCCACTCTTCAGTTTCCAGCCTTCTGATTGGACGAAGGTTATAAGATTAGGTCCAGCTTTCATTGTTAGGCCGAAAGATTTAGCATGGTTTGAAAAGAGTGTCTCGGCAATTGTGTGAGTATGCCTGTCTGTTTGGAGATGGTGGTAGTGGGTATGGATGGTTGTGTGTGTGTGTGTGTGTATGTGTTTGTGTCTGTGTGTGTGTGTCACAGTGATTCTAAAGAGGAAAGGCTTGAGAGCGAGTGAGGTGGCTAGCCGCCCAGATATTCCCTCCAAGCAGAGTTTGAATACCAAACCACACAAGAAGATGGAGGAGATGATGTAGAAGACAACAGACATGCCAGCATTTTGCATGTCTTTCTCTGCACACAAGCAACAGAAAGTGCAGGGAGTGTCTTTAACAAACCAAGTTCAGTACTGCGTTACGTCACTTATACTCAAGTCAGCTGAGTAAAGAAAAGCTCAAAAGTCTACCAGAATGTTTTTCGGTGCTGTAGAGCATGGGTAATTCATCAGATTTTCCGTAACCTTTCAAAAATGTGTTCATGCATTGAAATGAGCAGAAAGTAGACAGATTCAAACCTCTCAGCAGATGCTCCTCTGCAAAATATGTTACTTCAGTGAACAAGAAGTAAATATAATATCAGCGGAGGAGACTTTATCTGTGCAGTAACAGGTTTTGAATGAACCCACTTCTCCTCACCATGCTCACACACATACACACACACACACTCAACCTACTCTTGTAAAGCGACAACAAAGATTAGTTTGCAGAACTGTCAAAACACAAAAATTAGTGTCCAACATAAATTTTCTCTCTCTCTTTCACACATACACATTCACACAGATGCACCAGCAGACACACACACATAAATACCTTCAAGCCTGATTATTTCTTTAAACTGCAAAAGAAATGGCAACCTGTGAGACTTTTTATTTGCTTTCTGAGTTCACGCTTAAAGATGCAGTGTGTGAAATTTTGCCATTAGATGTCAGTACAATGAACACTGCAGTCAACTGAATTCTGAATTATTATGTTTTTACCACCCCCAGTTCTTCTACGGTTTTTTTATAGAGCCATTTTTGTACACACTATATTTGAACATATTTAAACAATGTCAACATTCAAGATTAAATCAAGAATAAAACATGAATATGTGTCAATGAAGTATTTTTGAGGTATTTTACTTTTTTACATCTGAGTCACCTCAAAAACTCACCAAATTGGTGAAGGCTGTCAGTCCCCTCAGCTGTCGGGTGAGAAGCGTCCCTATCAATTTACTCTGGAGCAGTCTGTAAAATCTTTTGAAAAGTGTCCCCTGCAGGTAGATGAGACATTGGAGCTCACGTCTGTCTGATGACAGCGATACTGAGTTAAATTGTTGAGGATGTCCTGAACTTTTTATCAGCAAGGGCTGCTGTTTTTGCCACTGTTAACTGCTGTTAGCCTGTTTTAGTTGCTGCTAGCCAGCATTGATAAATCTTTCTTTGAATTGGCTCTAACTTTGTTGGATTCTGAAACCTACAGAAGGCACAATTACACACTGATAATGTACATTTATAAATAACTTTTTTCTATTAAATAACCTCAAAGGATGACTGACTGTAGCTTCAAGTTTTAATGTCACATATTAAAAAAATATCAGCTTGGTTGCATGCATCATTTTAAGTAATAATAGACTTAACTTTGACCTGTTGACTGTACTTTATATTGTAAGGAAATACCCTACAATAGTAAAGAAAAATCTCCAACAATCAAACAAGCCCCTTTGGGTAAGCACTTGGCAACCGTGGGAAAGAAAAACTTGCTTTTAACAGGAAGAAACCTCCAGCCTTCTGCCACAACCATTGGAGGTGATGGGAGGAAAAGACACACTGGGGGCACACTGGCTTCAGGTACAACTGACAGATTTGGGACTCGCTCTTCTTTGTGCTGCCAGTGCTTACAAAATAAAATAACTTGTAATTTATCTTCATAAAACAGACTATTTACCTGCACAACAAAAGAACAAAATTTTCACTTGTTCCTTGGCTACAATTCTACTTATTGATATGGAAAATTTGTAGGTAACACACTATATTTAGAGGTTATTCATCTACAGACCACAATGGAAAAAGAAAAGCGAACCCCAGACAGGCAGACACAAACCCAAACAAGAGAAATAATCGGAGAGAGTTAGTATGGGTTTGCGCAATAAGTGTCAGTGCCACCAGGAAATATCAGGCTTATGAGATCTGACCGACTTCTGCTTCAGTTCAGACCTCAGTCAGTATACACAGTCACTCCACTGAGCCTGAGTTGAGGAACAACTTTGTCAGAGGGTACTATTGCACATAGCTGCTGAAATGTGATGAAATTATGTTAGAAGATTTTAGCACCACAGAGCAAAGTGCTATAACCGCAAACACCCATCGCACCGGGCAGTGGTAAAAAGACATGCTGTATATAGGTGATTGCCATCGTCTTATGAACTCTCTTACACAACTTAATTGTTATTTCAAATATTTTTTGTTTGATTTTTTGTTTTTTTACTTTGTCTGTTTCCATCAAAACTCCTCCTGTTGTACCGTTATGGCACTGGAGACTTCTCGGGGGAGTCAGAAGGTACATTCACTCATTCAGTCAGACAGACAATTACTCAGTTTCTCATCCTTTGCCCACCTGCTACACACTTAGACACTGACACGCACAGACGTCAAATTCTTAACAACTCGCTCCAGCTTACCAAGTCGGACTCTTTGTAAAGGAGCTTTGACCAGCTCACCGTCATGGAACCCAATGTAAAGAGACAGAGAGGAGAAAGGGAGACCCAAACGTCAGCTGAGGCCCTTTCTTTTTATGAGTGATGGGAGATTTCCTCTGAATCTTTTGACACACATACACATGTACTATAAACACAAGTAGCAGCACATCTCCAACAGTGTGTTATTGTAAAAGAGTCATAAATGATGGCTCTTGTCAGCATTTTGCATAAACTTGCTACCACCGT